TATACACTGGCATTAACACGCTTAATTGGTCTTAAAATTGCTGGTTCTCTGTTACTCTTTAAGAGCTGGAGTATTTGTTGATCAACAGATAATGAACCGTACTAGCTGGGTAACCAAGGAAGTCAGTGTAACAACGTACAAAAGACTTATTTTACTGTCGCGTACGAAATAAATTTCACCTGACTGTACTTACATCTTTTACCTTTGCTAAATTTTCAATTTTTTTGATCTCCTGTCTCACCAAGCTAGTTACTCGTGACCAAGAGCTTCTTGATTCGCTTCCCAAAAAACTTGTCTAGATCATAGACTAGTGAGGCAGTTTTATACTTTAACTGTTTCGTTCAATGACGCAAATGGGCAACGTGGCGGAGATAAGGTTAAACGCAGGATATGTTTTAGGAAACCTAAATTAGATAAATCAGATATTGACCGTCACTGACAAAGTAAAGAAAATAAATTGTCAGACTAGAGGCGCCAGTTTATCATATACCACTATTTTTTAACCAAAACCCGCGAAATGCTGGTACAGGTGAATTATTCTTATCGTCCGGTATCTAGCGCTGACGTTGGCTAGCCATTTTTAAATGTTATCATAATTGCTTGCAGTGCAGGGGCGGATCCAGGATTATTTTCAGGAGGGGTGCACTCGTCTCTTGCTCTACTTCAACACCAATAAACCACATAATTTTTTTTTTTTTTGCAGAATAGCAGTTGTATTAGAAAACCGCAGGTCATCTCAGCGGGGGGGGGAGGCGCACGAGGAGAGACCACAAAATAGCTGCATAACGAGTAACGCGCCTAGAAGGACCGAATATGTTGTCTAGTGTAAACTAAATTTTGTTCCATACAAGAACCGCCAGTAAAAATACTTTGAAACGAACAAATTGTCAACAAAATGAGCTTTCAAACGATGACTTTTGATAATATAAAACAGCCGAGATATCGTCTTTCAAATACAGGATCTTAGACCGATATTAAAATGGGACGATTTGCCAGGGCGATTTTTTATTAGCGGAGCTCCACGCCCTGCGCTGCGGAGCCCCATAGCTAAGGAAATGTGGTAATCTACCCATCCGAGAAAATTTGGTAATCACGTGACCGTACACCAACTGACCGACCGACCGACCGACCTACCGCCCGCCCAACCGTCCGTCCGCACCACAGGCATACCAATGTAAAATAACTCAATCAACAGGTATGGCAACCCAAATGCAACTCAAGGTTTTATTTGGAAAGAAATCACATCGCCGCCCAGACTTTTAGAAAGGAAAAAAAACAAAGTCGTGTCTTTTTCGGCGTGGATAACAGAGAAAGAGCTACAGCGAGTTAGTGAAAACAAAGGAGACGAATTTCGTAGGAAGAAAAACATAGAAATTCAAAGCGGCGGTGAGAAAATGAGAAATACTAGCGGCCAGCGAGGTGAAAATGAGCGGAAGTGAAAAATAAAAGCGAACATGAACACTGGAAACAAAATATTGGATAAGCACATACAACAATTCCTCCACTGTAATGTGTAACTAGGAAGTTTGACGTTTTAGTCGTACAAAACAGCGTTGTAGTCGTGCAGAACAACGGCAAGGGAAAGACAAAAAAGTGTGCTGCACGTGCAATTTTGTTTTTTTGCTAATTAGATCTATTAGTCTTGAAGCCATTTTCATTGTCGTCCCCGTTTAGCATTACACGATTTCGTTCTTTTTTGTTTACACGTATTATTAACCAGAGCTTCGCTTTTAGCCCTGGTTAATTATTATTTTGGACATTGGTTTATCAATTTTCTATAGCGTTTTTGCAGAGAAAGGAATGCGTCTCACAAGGCGGGGTCATAGGCATCCCAGGCCTTCCCTCCCCAACCCCTCTAGCTGCTCCCTTTGTTGACTTAAAGATTGAAGAGTAGTTAGTGGCAACGTGAAGGTGACGCGGCCGTTTCGACTGTATCTGGTATAAACTAGGCAAAAACTATTAAAATAAATACCCCCATTATGCATTGCGCATTCTGAACTGCCGCATACAATATGTCAGAAAACCAAGCTGACAAGATCGAGCCTGACTGTTTGTTCCTTCGGACACAAAGGATAAATGGGAAGTCGTTTTCGACGGTGGTCAAGAACTCCTCAGTCAACCGCACATCGTAAGAGACGCTGTAGCAAGGCTAATATTTACGTTGCGTTCATATGTGGTGGACGTTGGTAAACATTTGCGAGCGTTTCCTCTGGCAAACGGAAAGTGATCTTCAAGGTCAAATATTTATAAATAAGCTGATTTCGTAATTGTTTTTCTAAAGTGCAGCGACAGGGGCGGATCTAGGGCGAGGGTGCAGGGGGTGCGCACCCCCCCTGAGATGACCTGCGGTTTTCTAATACAACTGGTATTCTGCGAAAAAAAAACTACGTGGTTTATTGGTATTGAAGTAGAGCAAGAGACGAGTGCACCCCCTCCTAAAAAAATCCTGATCCGCCCCTGGGCGAGCACCTGCAAGCGCTACAACCAGTTGCAAAAGTACTTGAGACACTGTACCGTATTTTGCCATACATGACCTGTGCATGATCTTGTGCTTGTGATCCCCCCTCCACCCCTTATCAAAGTTGCTAGCAATACAAGACCATACTCAAAACTTGGAGGAACAACTTTGAATGGGAGGGAGGAGGGAGGTCAGTATTATATTTTACAGACCTGTGACCAGGAGCGATTTGAAGCAAGAAAGGTTGTTTTTCCGTGGGAGTGTCTCATCATTTTTGCAACTGGTTGTAGTGAGACACACAGGCAATACATACAAGCGAAAAGACAAGTATATTTTTAGCAGTAAAATGAATCAAAATACTTTTGGCGGTCTTAAAAAGTTAGCAAGACGCTTTAAGTAGTGTCCTAGTTGAGTGAGCTCTGCCTACTGTACGTGCTGCAGGTGTACACAGCGAAGGTCATTTTCTGTAAAACTGATATGTTCCGCGGTGGAAATTAAGCTGGCTTGCAAGATATTTTTCAATAATAACGTCTTGGAATTACTTTCTCATTCTAACATTTTAAGCTCAAACGTACATTTGGCTTTCTAAAAAAGTGAGCAAGACGCTTAAAGAAGCGTACTAGAAGGGTGTGAATGGGGTTAACCGACTAGCGACAAAGGGCAAAAAATATTACCGACTACCGACAAAACGCGAAAAAAATTACCGACTACCGACAGGAAAATTATTAACTGATTACCGACATGGACCGACATTATCTATATTTTTTTCAGAAAGAAGAGTATATTGAATTTTTCCTACCTTTCTAGGAAGTAACCCAAGATACCACGTCACAAGTCTTTTTACAAGTCAGTACCACAAAACGAGGATATTGAAATCGGTTTGCAGAGCGTATGCCAAAAATTTCTACAACCCGCCTAGTCATAAACATTATATGCGACAAATGCTTAAATTAATCCTCAAAGAAAATTATTTCCCGTTCAATGGAAAGCTCTACCTCCAAACCCACCGTACCGAGATGGGCACAAAGACAGCAGTTTCCTCTGCCAACATTTTCATGTCATATATTGAAACACAAAGTCTAAGCAGCTAAACCGTCTTTAAACCAGACATCGTAACTTTCTTCGAATAAGCAAACTTGCATGATCCTACTATTGAATTCACCACCGAAATTCACTGAGACAATGTTTTTAGACACAGTTGTATACAAAGGCACAAGGTTAAACGAAAAAGTTATCCTTGATGTAACTGATTACGGAAACCTGCCAGCACACATTTTGCGCCTTGTCAACCACCGATTTGTCAAAAGAGTTTGAGGAAAGTGTTTCAAAATTCAAAAGAACGCTTGATGGTTGATGATGTACAGAGGCTACCAACACAATTTGAAAGACAAATTGCAATCAGAAATAAATGAAACTCACAGAAACCGAAGTCCACGCTCCTGAAGCAAAACCGAGCAAGGAAGGAAAAGAAATGTTGCCTTTCTTGACACAATAGGAAACTTAAGAACCACGACGAAGTTCACGACGACGACGTCTGTTGACTGGGAAAAGACTGGAACGAGAACGTCAGTTTCGGCAGGAAAAAGGAAACTTAAGATGCAATCGGTCGGTAGGTCGACGACGACGACACTGAATGTAAACACAAATGTAAAACTGTGATGTTCGTTCGCAACAAAGTTTTTCGGAATGGCGTCTTTTAAAACAATGCAAGGTCTAATTTTTAAGCCGTACGTCTAATTTCATTGACGATGGAGAATTTTTTGTGTTGTCTGACTTTTTCGAGTGGAAAAACACCTGCTTTCCGCACAAAGATTATTCAACTTTCAACCTGAATGAGACGACCGAGTCCGAGTGTCTGTCAGAGTTTAGATTTGGAAAAAGAGACATTCTGATGTGCTGTTTTCCACATAAAGTTTATTTCCTCTATATTAAAGATATATGATTTGCCTTACCTAAATACGTACAAATAAATTTCTCACTTACGAGTTCGCTCGCTCGGCCTCCACAGCTGTTGTCATTCTTCGAAGTAAAAACAATTCATTATAGTATACTTTTAGTCTTCATAGCCAATAACATCACGGCTTAACTGACAGACGACCAATAACGTCGCGACGTAACTGACCAATCAGATCAATAACCAGAGTATAATAATATCAACTGACGTAATACAACTCACTTTGACTCTGAAGATGACTACCACACAGGTTGTCGAAACGTCAGTCACTGTCAACAACAACAGCCCTATTCAGGACTACGTTCACCCGGACGAACAAACTCAGCCTACTTTTGAAATGACTCCTGGATTCAAACCTTTCACAGTACACTTTTAGTCGAATTTTCAATCAACATCGCTTGTTACGAGAAAAAAAGCAACGATACCTGGATTTACGAGGATAAGAAAAAACAAAGGACTTCAAAAATCGCTTAAAACAGTGGATTTATGCACCTATCAATGTAAAGCCGGCGGGGGGGAGGGAGGGGGGCAGGGAATGGGGTGGGGATTTGCTTGTCTTTGTTGGCCCTGGGGTACGGCATTTGACTAATGCAACAAGAAACCGAAAGTTGTGTTTTGGACGAAGATCCATTGGCGGTAAGCAATGAAAAAAGCGAAAACAAATCGTCGCACGTGAGAGCTATCCACCCAAGCAAGGATCTAAATAGATATATAGTGGACAAGTTCCATCAACCTACAGCCGAATCAAAGGCCGCTCCTTTTGAAGCCATCGATCTTTCCATCTATAAACCTTCAGCTAGATGCCTTGCTTTCTCGACATCTGAAGATCGCCTGTTATTATGGATTGTAGCTTTCCAATTTCGCTATTATGAAATAACCGGAAATGGAACCGATTATACTGTGATATGGGAAGAGCAAGACAACCCAAGCTCAACCTCGAAGTGCGATAAAATCTGTATTCACCTTTCAATGAATACATCCACTGGCGAAGAAAAATTGGTAACCATTACAGTTTTTGGTACAACTGGGAGGATCCTTGTGCAAGGGAAAAAATATGATGAATGGAGCAAATTCGAATTTCCGGTGATTCTGAAAATAATTGTCAACACTCTCAGCGATATTCAACCTCTCTCTTCACTCTCTTCAGTTGGAGATGTTTCTGTCTTTGGAGCCTCGCTTCAAAACTTTTTTACGAATTTCATAACATTTGTCAGAGATGATGACATCCCATCATCAAATAATTTGGACGCCGAACTTCCCTCAACAACCAAACCGGAAGCTTTATCGCCAACTGAAACACTAACAATCTCGCCAACCCGTTTAAAGACAATCTCATCCATGCGAGACACACTCGGGCAGCTAGAGGCAGATTTTACAGAATTTCATATGACCACTACCGGGGATTTGGAACAGCTAAAAGACAAAACCGTTAAACAAGATCACTTAATTAAGCTACAAAAACAATCATCTGACGATCTACTCAACGATTTTTCCTCGCAGATTACATCACTCCAAAACATAGTCTCTCAACAATCAAGCATCATAAAAAAATTGCAAGATGAAAACCAGATCCTCCACAAGAAACACGTAGAAATTGACAAAGCAAATCAGGCCCTGCAAGAATCACAAAATAATCTGATGACAGAAATTCATTTCCTTAAAGAACAAATGACAGCGCTTTGGCAAAACTCGAAGGAACCTGACCCCCCCAGCCCTTCCTCACAAACCGAGTCTTCTTGCTCCGAAAACACCACTGACAGCGAACAAAAAAATACGGACTGTGAGGCATCCCGACTACCCATCACAGCTCAAAAGCTTACAGTAAATATTCCCACGGAAAACAGGTTTTCGCTCCTCCAGAATTGTGACACATCTGACAGCTTATCCAACACACAGCAAGAAATTGTCCCGGAGACAAACACAGAAAATATGACTCCACCTACTCCACAAGACATTGCGCCACCTCCAATCCAAGCATCAGTAAACAATAACGCCGTTTTTCTGTGCGATTCGAATGGAAAATTTATCGACAAAAGAAAGCTTTTTCAGCCAACACAAGATTTCACATTCTTCAGATGTCCCAAAATTGAACACGCAAGGGCTATTTTACAAGATGAAATTGATAAAGAATCGGCTGGACATCCTCAATTAATCATAATCCACACCGGAACAAATGATCTTACTACAACCACGCCAATAGACGACTTCATCTCTGATATATCTGTATTAATCACTCAAGCATCTAGAAAGTTCCCAAAGAGCAAAATCGTCTGTTCAACTCTCTTGCCGCGAACTGACATTCCCCTGCATACTTTATCCAAAACAAGAAGACGCCCGAAGGCGTTTACGCGGGATGTGTGGGTTTAAGAAAGAATTACGGGTATGTTGGATGGCAATGGAAAGTTGTGTAGTGTATGCAACAAATGTGTGCAGGAGAGACGGAGATGTCCTGTTAAGGACTAATACACTAGAAGATGAGTTACACACAAGGGTTTCTTTGCTACTCAAAAAAAAACTTACATCAATATTACCACCATATATGTTAGGAGTATGGGGTAGTTCACTAAAATTTGCATTCCTTTACTAATGTCCTCAAAAAATGCACTTCCACATTTAACAATAGCATGTAATGTATCATACTTTCAATAACTATAGGGCTGCAAGGAAGTGCTCTAGGAAAAATTTCAGGGAGCCCTTTGGGCTCCCCAAGCATTTTTAGTTGGGGTGCCCGGGCCTCCAAGTTGGTCGCCCAAATTAATAAATCAATGAGCTGTTAGTTAATTATTAAAAATTAAACAAATTATTTTGTTAACAAGTCAAGCAGAAGTTTGTGAATATTTTTGTCATGAAAAAATCACATCCCTTTGACCTCCTGAGCGTGTGAAAAAAAAAAACCGGCACGTTGTCATATGAAAGTAAGTTTTCGCGCCACATGAGAAACATGGACAACGCCGCCGAACATTTCATGTTTTTTAAATGGCAAAGTAAATTTGGGGTCAAAAATAAGGGCATTATTCTTTTTACTAATCATTTTGATTTAGGTTAGTAACTCTTTTGAAAATGCAACCCCATTAATAGGCAATCTAGTCGTGAAAATGCGACCTCATCCAGCGGCACATCCCCATTAGCCTCTTTATAAGGAAGTGCCCCCCCCGGGCCGCGCTAAAACCATTATCTCTTTTGAATAGATTATCTTGTTGTAAAGTCGTCGTTTAAGCGCAAAACGGAAGTATTTTCTTTCTATATTACCGGTGAAATGTTCAGGACAAATGTAGATTCGGTTAGCTTTTGCGTATTTGTTTTTAGTACGTGATACGTAATGCCTTGTCACGACACGAAAGACAATGCGGGATTTATACCCGATTCTAGAACAATCACAATTACAATAGTCGTCTCTTTTCTTTTTTATGCATCGTATTTTACTGGAATAACAATCTTAGTTATGTTTTAGCCTCGCAGACACAGTAGTAAAAAAAGGTAAAAATATTTAAAGAACATAAAAGACCGACCCTTGTTTATTCAGCGATTTTTCAAAATACAAAGCTATTGTTTTGCGCGCCGACCGTACTTCACGCCTGTAAGAGCAAAAGTAACAATTTGTTTTGAAAATCTAACTAATGAACAATCCTAATTTGAAGAAAAAATTTCAATGTTATTATGAAAAGCTGTTACTATCGAAAACTGTGCAGCTTGTCACGTTCATAGTCAAGGATTATGTTACATGTGAATTCACGTGAAACGACCTTTGAACATCAACGCGTGCCCCGCTCCCGGATTTAACAACATTTTCCTAAAGCTTTTTGATATACATGCTACTTATTGCTACTTACAAGTCGACCTCAAGGGTTTCTTAGCGAGAGGAGCGTTCTTCTTAGGCCGCGAAGCCACCGAGAGAGCTACGATTTCGCAAGTAATAAATTCTAGACATTCTTAGCTTTTTGACGTTAACTCAACAGAGACAAGAAACCAACACAAGCAAGTCGCCCGGCTGGGCCACCTAGACAATATTTTCAGTCGCCCGAGGCCAAGTCTTGCGCCGTATTAAGAGCACGGCCTTGAGTCTTCGTCCTCCTCTACACGGTGACCTTACTTTTCCCTCCTTTGCTGACGCAGTATCTTTTTTCGGCTTGTGCAATCCAGCCTGACTTGCACGTGCTTCGACGTTGCGGCCAATAAAAATCCACACAATTTTTCGGGACGGGCACGGGATACGGGAAAGTTAAAAAAACAAGCCAATTTTTGACTCCCAAGACGACGAAAGGAAAGTGCTACCGAATTTTAGACGCTGGCTGACTACGTCATCCCGCGTAATAAACACAAACCTTATTGACAGCTGCTCAAAACTACCAAACGTCCATCTAGTCAATCATGAAAATATCTTCTCCAAGGGAACTGAAGTGTTGCACGACAGAAAACATCTTAAAAAAAGACACCTTGGTTTGTTCGCAGCAAACTTAAAAGCAGCCATTCGTGGTAGAGGAAAACCACCTCGCGCCAACTCCAGCCAATTGTACCGATCCTCACTCTCTTCGCCGCACTCGTTTCACACTAGCCCTTCGGAAGGCTATCCTCCCTCTAGCAATGGTGTTCGGAACATACACAGCCAAGTCCACCAAACTTCGCGGCAGCAACAACCTTTACCTTCCCGTTTCCCATATACAACTTCCTCGGGTGATGCCTCTTATAGTAATGCTGTTAAAAACGGTCACAACACCTACAACATTCCGCAATCACCGCAACAGCAACAGAACTTTCCGCCGCAACACTACAATGTACAGAGCTTCTCACCGTCTCACTTAGCGGCAGTGGGACCGATTCCTTCTGTTCCTCTCCAAAACGACTGTGCTGTTGGAAAAGTCCCGGCAGTTGAAATCCCAAAGGAACTGGTATCTTTAATCCAATTTTTTAAGACCCTTGTATAATATCTTATACATAACCCACAA